CCCCCCAAAAAGATTTCAGTTTGTTTTTCAATTGAGTTGTACAGTTTATAGGTCACATTAAAGGTGTAAAAAGTTCTGAAATGATTTATCTCTGTCTAATTGTTTTACATCACAGAAACCTGACATTTTAACAGGGATGTGTAGACTTTTTATATCCACTGTATACTAACTACTATGGTCGATTAAAAGGAACGAGTGAGAAGGTTTAAAGAGTAACTCCACTTTAGTAGGAAAAAATATAGCGTATACAATTGCTACAAAAGCCATATTGTAATTGAGTGTTATTATAAATGATCTTTCCTTTTCAATCTGCAGCGCTGTAATTTACTCTAAAATTCAATGCAACATGGCAACCTGGAGGTGTTTTTTATATAGATGGTGTACAGATTGGGATTTTCTATGTAGCAGAGGCACTGTATTTTCCCTCTAGAGGAAGATAGGAGCTCAGTGGATTTCTGGCAGGTTCAACTGGTATTTTTTTGCACTTTGTGAACAGATATAACAAAACATTTTCAATGTAGCTCAAAACAATGAAAACAGTATGCAGCCTCCCCCCCCCCCCCCCAAACCTGTGTCAGTAGTATCAGCATGTGAATAGACTGGTAAAAGACAGGATCAGCTTATCAGGCTCTAGTAGACTTCAACAAAATGGCGGCCGTCTATACACAGACACCAACTCCCTATTGCATAAATGTGAATGAAATTAATAAAATATGACTTCATCTCCTGTTCTCCACCTGTAGAGAACTCCTCAGATGCGTTTAGCCCTTTTCGGCCTAAACCCCTTGGCACCGGCGCCTCCCAGCCCACATGATCAAAAAGCTCCCGACTGCAAGTAGCGATTGGGACCTTTCCATGAGGCGCTGGCAAATGTGCCAGGAGCATGTAGGGTGCACACTCTTGGAACATCTGTTGTTCACATTGGATATGCAAATATGCAGAACCCTCAGCGCCAAGACGAATCCTAAAGGCCCGTACAATTAAGCCCCGAAAAGGGCAAAATGCATTTGAATTTCTCTGCAGGTGAAAAACAGAGGCTGAAGCCATATTTTACTTATTTATTTGACATTTATGCAACAGGGAGTCTGTTTCGGTGTGCAGATGGCCACCATTTTGTTGAAAATTTCTTTCAATGGTATGCTTAAAGGGCCAAAAAAAAGAAAATAAGACTTCACTGTTCATAAGTTGACTGGAATGGGGGAAGATTAGAACCCATGTCAGGTATTACTGCTATGCGGCGCTCTGTTAGAGAGATTTACCCTCACTTTCTGTTCTGGGGACAACCTTTTACCAGAGAGGAGGGAAAATATGCAACATGGAAACAGACAACTATTAAACCTGACAGAGGTTCTAGCATTCCTCTTCCTAACTAAAAAACATCTTACATACAGTCACAAATGCACTCAGTGCATTTTCTGCAGGAGTGCAAAGCAGCAGTTGAACTCAGCAGTTTAACTAAAGCAGGACAACTAAAGCAGTGAGAAGATATAACAAAGAACTCTACTGCACTCTGGATGGACTGCAAGCAAAACACCCTGGGAAACATCTCCTACACGTCTGATTCCCACTCCAACTACCTTTTAATATGCCCCCTCTACTCCTCCTTTTCATATTAGTATGCTCTGTTCTCAAAATCTGATCCACCCCAAAGCTTATACATATCACCCTTACTTCTAACATTTTTCTACTACTGCTCTCATCACCTCCTGCTGATACTTAACTCACCTGCTGACCCAAACACCAGGACAGGAAGGCATGTGCACTCATATACATCTTGTTCCCATCTTTCTTTCCTCACCCTCCTTCTCCTAACCTCTGGTGATATATCCCTGCTCTGTCTGTCATAAGCTCAACTCTGTCCATGACCTTTTGTCTCCCATTCCCTTAATCCACTAGCTAATTACAGAAACCTGGCTTCAAGCATCAGATTCTGCTCTTCTCCCGCAGCACTTTCCTAAGGAGGCCTCCACTGGACTCACTCACCCAGACGGCCAAGTGGTTGGAAACGAGGAGGTGGAGTTATGGAGTTTTGCTCGGGCCGGCGAGCTCTATCCCACTGAGCTCCTTTCAAGTCCTTCCTCCTTATAACTCCTCCCTTCTCTATCTTTCCTTCTCTGCTCATAATCGAGGAGATATAAAACGACATCTCACTGCATTCGGTTTTTTCTCCCATTTCTCTGAGGATTGAAGTGATCTATCATCCTCTCCTGGACCGGTGTCGCGCTTTTGTTTGATGATTTCTCTGCCTAGCTACCCTACTTTCTTATCCTGAAATACCCACTATCATTCTTGGAGTTTTTATTTAACATCCCCATTAATGTGAACAACCCTTTCTACATCCCAACTCTTCAACCTAACCCTCATCTTTTGCCTTAACACAATAGACACAGTCCTCCACTTACTCTGATGGGAATACATTAGACCTTGTGTACTCCCATCTTTGCACTCCCCACACCCTCACAAACACCCACTTTCCTCTCTCTGATCACAATCTCATCACCTTCACAGTGTCCTCATCTTCAAACACTTATCCCCCAAGCAACAAACACATACTCGCAGAAACCTTTACAACATTAAACCTTCTCTTTTCCCACTCTGAAACTGACCACCTCTATGACAGACTTTCTCCCCACCCCTGTCCTGCCCTGACCCACGGCGCCACTTCTGTCTATCCGATACAGTTCACTTTCATCCACGCTAAGATCATCACTTGCTCCTCTAACTCTACACCATTTCTATCAGGGTGCCCTGTGGAGTGAGCATCACGGACCTTGGCAGACTAACAACACTAGAAATCTTAAGAGACATAGTCGTGCACTGGAGCGATTGTGGCGTGGATAAAAAACCAAATCCCTGCAAGCATTCCACCCTACAAAAGTCTGATTTCTTAAAATACAGTTGCTCCCTCCATTGCTGCGCCAAACAAGCCTACTTTGTCACTCTTATAATACCTTTCATCCAGTCCTCGTCTTCTCTTCTCTACTTTTAACTCTCTACTTTCTCCACCTCCACCCAGTAACTCACTCACTGCTTACGAGATTGCCAATCATTTCAAAAACAAGATTGATGCAATTCGTAGGGGCATCTCCATTTCTACACAGACATCTATCCCACTTAGCATACCTTATACTAAACCTCCCTCACACTTTCACTATTTTGACCTTGCTACTACTGAAAGAGGTCACTAAAGTTTTCTCAAGAAGCCCATCTCACCACCTGCTCCTTGGAATCCTGTTCCCTCACAAACTACAATTGTCAACGCGCTCTTCCATCTTTGCTCCCTCACTCACACATCTTCAATCTCTCCATCTCTACTGGTGCCTTCCCACTCCCCCTCTAAAGCATGCACAGATCACTCCCATAAAATAAGCCCTCACATGGGACCCCCCCACCAACCGAACAATTTAAGACCCATCCTCCCTGCTCGCGTTTACCTCTAAACTCTTAGAACGCTTAGTCTACAATCGCCTGAGCTCCAACCTCACTGACAACAACCTTCTTGACCCTTTACAGTCTGGCTTCGCTCACTTACACTCCACTGAAACTGCCCTTCCCTTAAACTCACTAATGATTTTACTAACTGCCTAAAACCAAAGTCTACTACTCCATACTTTTACTACTTGACCTCTCAGCGGCTTTTGATACTAGTTGACCATCTCCTCCTCAAAAAAAAACTCCACTCTCTTTGGCCTCTGAAACTCTGCTCTCTCCTGGTTCTCCTCCTACCTATCATAGTGCTCCTTCAGTGTGAGTTTACGTATAACTCAGTCTCCTTCTCTCCACTTCCCCTTTCTGTAGGTGGTCACTCAAGGTTCTGTCCTTGGACCCCTTCTCTTCTCCATCTACACCTTCTCTCCCTTGGTCACTTGATAAACTCTCATGGCTTTAACTACCATCTCTATGCTGATGACACACAAATCTATCTTTCTGTCAAAAGAAATGGACTGGCCAGCAATAGTGGGCACTTCAGCTGCCTTATGAGCTGCAGTACCAGGGCCTGGCCAGCGGGTGCTCCCAGCAATCAGAGACTCAACCTTGCAGCCAGTCAAACACCTGGAACTAATTTGATACTGGTGTATTTAAGGGACATTTCAGTACCATGCAAGACTCTGCCTTGGTGTTTGTGTTTCTCTTGGAGCCCTGTATCCTGTCCTGCTCTCCTGTTTCCTGTCTGATTCTCTGCTGACCCTGCTCTGATCCCTGGCTTGTCTGACCATTCTCCTCTTCCTGACCCTCTGTACCACGCTGCCCGCTAACCTGCTGAATCCTGGCCTGTGACCCGACGCATTCTCCGCTTGCTCCCCTGTACCTACCTGCCCGACTGATATTGACCCGGCCTGCCTGACGAAGCGCTTGCATTGTATGTACTGTTATAATGTGGAGGTGGTTGGTTGTTTGTTTGCACTGTGTTATGTTTTTAGTATTGCACTGCGTTTATGTTTGTATGGTTAGTGTTAATAAATTACATTGTTTATAACATATATCTGAAGTCTGTCGTTTCCCCTGCGTCAGTCACACACCTCTGGTCATACCCTCGGAGCCCTGACATTACACCAAGGCCAATCCTGACCAGAAGTGGCTGCTGCACATCAGGGAAGCCTATCTTGGCTTGTTGATGGGAAGGATGGATCTGGATGAGGTTGCGTATTTATCTCTGCTAGTGTTTGATGACAGGGAGTATGCTTATCAGACTCTGAAGGAGTATCCCCGGGATGAACTGCTAGAATGTATACGGCTCGCTCATGTTCTAGTAGATCAGGGCACAGAGTTCTCTGAGGTGCAGCCTTTGATTGAGGTTTGTGCTGAGTTGGTTTCATCTGGTACCCCCGAATGCAGGGATGAATTTTTGCCACCATTTAGTGCAGACCAGGTAGAGTCCCTGGTGTGGTTATTAGAGGATGATGTGGGTTACTTTCTGGAGCGTTATTCCACATGTTCACCACAGACACTAAGAGATTGTATAAACGCAGTGCAGTCATTGACCAGACAGGCTTTGTGTAAGCTCAGCTTTGTTCAACCCATACTGCAGACATGGACAGACTTGTTGCACCCAGCCTCAGTCAGCTTACAAAAACCCAGTCCTGCTTCTAATCTATTTCCTCAAAACTCTATTCCTGCATTCCCAACAGCTCCTCCTGCCCTGCTATCTACCGCATGTCAGTCCCCTGTTCCCACTCGCCGCACCTGTCCTGCCTTTAACCCTGTAAAAAAGTCCTCTTGAGCAACTGCTCCCTCCCCTGTTCCATCCTCCAGCTCTTCTCTGTCTCCAGCTGCTCCATTCGTTTGCAGACCTGCGTTTACTTGCAGTGCTCCAGTAGTTAAAACCAGAAAAAAGCGAAAATTCTTTCCAACCAATACCATCCTGCCAGTATCCAAACCGGTGAGCCTGCCGTCTGAGAACCTGCCTTCCGTGGTTCAGCCTGAAGCCTCTACTAAGCCTAAATCCTCTACTCGGCCTGAAGCCTCTACTCGGCCTGAAGCCTCTACTCAGCCGGACGCCGGCATTCAGCCTGATGCCTCTACCCCTGAGCCTCTATGATGAACTGATCCAGCCAGACGATCCAATGCCTGGTGACCCGGTGCCCACTGCCTTGCCAGATGACGCGGTGCCCGCTGGCAAGCCAAATGACCTGATGCCTGGTGACCCAGTGCCCGCTGTCATACCTGGTGACCCGATGCCCGCTGTCGAGCCAGACAATCCGGTACCTGATGACCCGGTGCCCACTGTCGTGCCTGTTGACTCGGAGCCCACTGCCTTGCCAGATGACGCGGTGCCCGCTGTCGGGCCAAATGACCTGATGCCTGGTGACCCGATGCCCGCTGTCCAGTCAGACGATCCAATGTCTGACCCAGTGCCCGCGGTCATACCAGTTGACTCGGAGCCCACTGTCGTGCCTGGTGACTCGGTGCCCGCCGCTTTGCCTGGGGGCCCGAGACCTGTCGCTCCACCTGGGGGTCCGGCGCCCGCCGCCCCGCCTGGGGGCCCGAGACCTGTCGCTCCGCCTGAGGGCCCGAGACCTGTCGCTCCACCTGGGGGTCCGGCGCCCGCTGCTCCGCCTGAGGGCCCGAGACCTGTCGCTCTGCCTGGGGGTCCGGCGCCCGCCGCTCCGCCTGAGGGCCCAAGACCTGTCGCTCCGCCTGGGGGTCCGGCGCCCGCCGCTCTGCCTGAGGGCCCGAGACCTGTTGCTCCACCTGGGGGTCCGGCGCCCGCCGCTCCGCCTGAGGGCCCGAGACCTGTTGCTCCGCCTGGGGGTCCGGCGCCCGCTGCTCCGCCTGAGGGCCCGAGACCTGTCGCTCTGCCTGGGGGTCCGGCGCCCGCCGCTCCGCCTGAGGGCCCAAGACCTGTCGCTCCCGCCTGGGGGTCCGGACGCCCGCCGCTCTGCCTGAGTCGGGCCCTGAGGGCCCGACCCTGTCGCTCCATCCTGAGGGGTCTGGCGCCCGCCGCCTGTCGCCCGCCTGAGGGCCCGAGACCTGTTGCTCCGCCTGGGGGTCTGGCGCCCCGCCGCTCCGCCTGAGGGCCCGAGACCTGTCGCTCCGCCTGGGGGTCCGGCCCGCCGCTCCCGCCTGGGGGGCCCGACGCCCGTCGCCCCGCCTGGGGGCCCGACGCCCGTCGCCCCGCCTGGGGGCCCGACGCCCGTCGCCCCGCCTGGGGGCCCGACGCCCGTCGCCCCGCCCGGGGCCCGACGCCCGCTCCCGCCTGGGGGCCCGCCCCCCACCCCCTGGGGCCCGCTGCCTGCTGCTCCGCCCGGGGGCCCGCTGCCTGCTGCTCTCCGCCTGGTGGCTGCTGCTCCGCCTGGGGGCCCGGTGCCCTGCTGCTCCGCCTGGTGGCCTGTCGCCTGCTGCTGCTTTCGCCTTGTAATCCGATGTGCCTCTGCCCGGAGTCCGGCCCGATGTGCCTCTGCCCGATATGCCTCTGCCCGGTGTGCCTCTGCCCGATGTGCCTCTGCCCGGAGTCCAGCCCGATGTGCCTCTGCCCGGAGTCCTGCCCGGTGTGCCTCTGCCCGGTGTGCCTCTGCCCGGTGTGTGCCTCTGCCCGGAGTCCAGCCCGATGTGCCCGGAGTCTGCCCCCGGAGTCCAGCCCGATGTGCCTCTGCCCGGAGTCCTGCCCGATGTGCCTCTGCCCGGAGTCCTGCCCGGTGTGCCAGTCTTTGATATCCCGCCAGTTACCAGACCCGGGGCGGTGGAACATTTTGCCCAGCTAGGACTGTTTGGAGCGTCCTGAGGCCGCTCCTTGAGGGGGGGGTACTGTCAGGAATGGACTGGCCAGCAATAGTGGGACTCAGCTGCCTTATGAGCTGCAGTACCAGGGCTGGCCAGCAGGTGCTCCCAGCAATCAGAGACTCAACCTTGAAGCCAGTCAAACACCTGGAACTAATTATACTGGTGTATTTAAGGGACATTCAGACCTGCAGACTCTGCCTTGGTGTTGTGTTTCTCTTGGGCCCTGTATCCTGTTCCTGCTCTCTGTTCCTGTCTGATTCTCTGCTGACCCTGCTCTGATCCCTGGCTTGTCTGACCATTCTCCTCTGCCTGACCCTCTGTACCACGCTGCCCGCTACCTGCTGAACCTGGCCTGTGACCCCGACCATTCTCCGCTTGCTCCCCCTGTACCTACCTGCCCGACTGATATTGACCCGGCCTGCCTGACGACGCTTGCATTGTATGTACTGTTATCTGTGGGTGGTTGGTTTGGTTTGTTTGCACTGTGTTATGTTTTAGTATTGCACTGCATTTATGTTTGTATGGTTAGTGTTAATAAATTACATTGTTTATAACATATCTGAAGTCTGCGTTTCCCTGTGTCAGTCACACACCTCTGGTCATACCCGGGAGCCCTGACACTTTCACTCCTCACCTCACCCCTTCAGTCTCCTCTCGCATTACTAACATACTAAGTGACACATCAGCATGGATGTCACTCCACTTCCTCAAACTAAATATTTCTAAAATGGATTTCATACTATTCCCTCAAGCCGTGCCCCCTCCCCTGACTTCTTCATCAAGATCAATAATACAACCATCAGTCCTTCCCCTCATGCCAGGGTACTAGGTGTAATCCTAGACTCCCATTTGTCCTTTCAGCCCCAAATCCAATCACTGTCCAAATCTTGTAGACTTCACCTACACAACGTCTCCAAGATAAACCCATTCTTAACCTCTGAAACCACTAAGCAACTTATTCACTCCCTTAATATCTCTCGCCTTGACTATTGTAACTTAGTTTTTTCACCCTGAAGAAGTCAGGTGGATCGTGACGCAACGCGTCGGCATGCACTGACCACATTTCCGGGAACGCGGTGACGCCGTTTCCAGCGTGGAAGCCATTTTTGGAGTTATCATGGAGCGAGTGGAGCTGTATGTATCCAGCATCAGAACCATGAGTATACACCCATGATATGGGAAAAAGGCGATTATATATATTTTTTAAATGTGAGTGGGCAATTGGCTTTGTTTGTTTATGTGTCTAATAAAAAGCAGGATTACACTATGAGGGATTTTTTCTGTTTTTAATATTATCCTACTACGGTCATGTGGATTTGAGTATCCCTGAGATAGGAGAAGATCCAGAAGCAATAAGGTTGTTATCCTTAGTGTTCTATCCCTGGTGATATCTTTCCTGGTGCATGTGGACCACCCACACAGTGAGTTGACCCGTAGGGTCACATTAAGGAGATGAGGAGCTATCTTGGCCATCTGTGGATTTGTCTGCACATCGTGTGGCACTGTGATCACCCCATGTAGCTTGCTGTGTTTTTTGGTCACCAAATTTGGAAAGTTCTTTTCTATGGACTTTCACATAGCATGAACTGCATTTGAATATATGAGCACATGCACTGTATCACTGCAATTAATCTACTGTTTGTGTATTTATGATATTATTGCTTTACCCACTTTTATGCCATCCAATATATTGCATTACATTATGTCTGTCCTAGACCAGTAGGTTATGCTAGCGCTTCACTATTTTTCCCCCTCTTTTGTATTTACCTTGTGGTTAAGGCGAGTGTGAGCAGCTTAGAATTAGGTTATCCATTTTAGCGCAGGAGGTCTTTATTATTTAATACTGTAGATTTGTGTAAGATTGCAAGCTTTTGTGCTGCACAGGCTAGCCCATACCATACACTCATACACTGATTCCTGCTCTTTTAGGGTAATAACAGGTAAGGTGTGGCAGCTTATTTGTGCCCGCCAGTAGGTAAATTACTTCACTTTCTACCTTCATCCATCAGGAGGCGCCGTGCTGTGCAGCACAAGGGTCTCAGCCTTTGGGCTGGTGTATGTAAATTTATTGTATATTCTCAGCATTTGTGGTTGTGTTTATTTGCCACCTCTAAGTAAAATTCTGTTGTGGCAAAGGCTGGTGTTGGGGTTGCTTTCCTCGTTCGTGACTTCACTGTATCCTGGGGAGCCCACCCCGGTACACGGCTTACAATATCACATGGGGCGGAGTCCCTTGGGTAATGTCCCCGGGTGGCCCCGCCCCTTACATATTTAAGAACTGTCAAGCCAGGTCAGAGGCAGAGGGCTGGAGCCTGCTGGAGGAGGGAGTCAGGTAAGTCATGCAGCTGCTTGTGCTCCCCCTAGACTTAACACAGATTTAGCCCTTGCAGCTTGGAAGGGTGGCATTGCAAAGGTTGTTTTTTTTTCTGTCCCCTAAACTGGGCTTGAAAGCTTTGTGAATTAAGTAGTATGTTCTATTTTGCTTTTTTATCCCCATAAAAAAGTCATAATTAAGTCAAACTAATCCCCAGTGCAATATCAATGCATATAAACCCAATGCAAGCAATTCATCACATGCTGCTTCTGACTTTGTTTTCTGAGTTTGATGCCATGTGCACCCTTGCACAGCAGCAAATGTCAAACTTCAGGTGCCCCCCCCTGAAGTGTCAGTCTTAAAGTAGTTAAAGTTAAATAGTGGGGGAAGCCTATTATAATCTATGACTGGCCGTGGGGTATGTGTGGTAGGCCAGAGCAGGGGCGGACTGACATTTGGAAACTCGGGCATTGCCCGAAGGCCCGGGGTCAGTAGGGGGGCCCCATGAGATGCCCCTGGTACCTTTTTCATAGTCTTTTTTTAGTTTGGGCAAGGACACAGGGGCCCCATGATCCCCTATTGCCCGGGGGCCCCATGAGTTGTCAGTCTAACCCTGAACACAGCTGATCATGTGATGTGGTAAAAGGCCAATCACTGCGGCCTTTTACCACGTGATCAGCTGTGTCCAATGACACAGCAGATCACCTGTAAATGCCGTTGCCGGTTATCAGCTGCACTTTCCTAACGCTGTCACAGCATGAGGAAAGTGCTTCTGATAACTGCCAATTGTCAGAGGACGGATCGAATCAGTGCCCAGCAGTGCCACCCTCCAGTGCCCAGCATTGCTGCTCACAAGTGCTCAGCAGTGCCACCCACCTGTGCCCAACAGTGCCACCCATCAGTGCCTAGTAGTGCCACCCACCAGTGCCCAGAAGTGTCCCCCATCAGTGCCGCCCAGTCAGTGCTGTCAGTCAGTGCCACCCATCAGTGCCACCTATCAGTGCCCATCATTGTTGCACATCAGTGCAGCATCATCAGTGCTGCCTATCAGTGCCGCCTATCAGTGCCCATTAGTGCTGCCTATCAGTGTAGCCTCATCAACGCACATCAGTGAAGGAAAAAATTACCTGTTTGCAAAATTTTATAATAGAAACAAAGAAAAGCTTTTTTTATTTTTTTATTTTTTGCTCTTTTTTTTGTTTATAGCACAAAAAAATAAAACACTCAGCGGTGATTAAATACCACCAAAAGAAAGCTCTTTGTGTGGAAAAAAAAATTATAAAAATGTCATATGGGTACAGTGTTGCATGACCGCGCAATTGTCATTCAAAGTGTAACATCACTGAAAGCTGAAAATTGGCCTGGGCAGAAAGGGGGTATATGTGCCCAGTAGGCAAGTGGTTAAAGGAGTGTCTTGACTGATTTTGTGCATTGGCAGCCCATTCTCAAAAAATGGGATGCCTTAACTCAATATGTGTTAAAGGTCTAAAAATATGCGAATAGGTCCTTTAAGGTTTTTTGAAGGGGTGAGGTGTTGTAGGGCCACTGTATATTAACAATTGGCATGCTTGTTTTATAACTTTTTTTAACCTTTTTTTTTTTTTTTTTTACCCTTTGTTGCATGTCAGTGTGACTGATCTTCTGCAGCATCTTTGAAACCACTTCCTTTGCAATGACATTGAAATTATTTTACATGATAAAGCTTACATAAGATTTCAGTAATTGTGCTTACATATGCTTCAAGAACACTTATCCATTAAAGATGCCATTGCTTAACTTTCATATTATGGAAGTACTGCAAGCAAACATACAATATTGTGACTTTCTCCGCCATTACCAAAAATAGTTACTGTAATTTTTCTTACCTATTGTGAAGGCAGACATATAGAGATGTAGAATATGTAAAACCATGATGTTTGTCTCCATGAAAATGGCACTTCATTGGAAGTTCACACAGACCAATGAGATACTGTAAGAAGAGTACAGATGTCTGATGATAACAGATTCTCACAGTACTGAGAGTATAAAGCCGGCCATAGATGGTTCGAATCTCAGCTGGTTTAGCAGGGACCAGCCAGGATTCGAACCATCTATGGGCAGGCTGATTGTACAGAAATTGGTTGTACCCCAGTTGTACAATAGTACAACTGGGGTACAACCAGCCCATCAGATTTTTCATGCAATTATTGCCAGCAACTATAGCCACTAGCATTAATCACTGTGTTCTCCCAGCAGGGACAGCTCTTCCCTATGCCTCCCCCCCTGGGGAACACAATAGTTCTGCGGGAGGGATTTGAGTGATTTTCTTTCCTGCAACCCGTGGTTGTAGAAAAGAAAATTGCATCATCTATGGTTGGCTTAAGATAATTCTGTGATTTTTTTTTTTTTTTTTATTTTTAAACTATGCTTCATTACAGAATATGCCAGCCTGAGGCTTCTAGTTGATTACCTTGCTGTCCTGGAATTTGATGGTCATGATCACACAGGGAATAATGCTGTCTACTGTAGTTATATGTATTGCTACGTACTTCTCTATATAACATGTGACAGTCGAAATTCCATCTTATTTTCTACTGTCCATAAAATACTAATACAATGATTAGCTCATCTGTATCTACCCCAAAGTCCAGCATGACCCAATGTCATCTCTCACATCTCTGAGTCTGAAGATATGCCAATTGTCTCTCTTGTATCCAATGTAAAAGTCCAATCATACCCCACTGCTCTAACTATTGGGTCTAAAGGAAAAGTGCCATCTTGTTCCATTGATCTCTCTCTTGAATCTAAAGTTAAAGTCCTAGCATGGCCCACTGACCACTGCAAGTTCCATCATGCCCATCGTTCATTCTTTCTTAGATTTGTATAATTAAACATCATGGCAGGTCCCACAAGTGCCGTTCCTATCTCTATAGATTTACAATGTCCAGCATTTTTCTCTCTTAAATCTATGGTAAAAATCACTGCATGCAGCACTTAAATCTCTCCTGCTCTGTAAAAGAACAAGTCTACAAATGTTCCCTGCTGTCTTTGTAGTGCTACAAGTCACACCATTCCCATTCCCTGGCTACATTTTGCACCAAATCTTTGAGAGAGATTGCTTCCTTCAGAGATAACCTATAAAGAAACATATTTTGTTTCCACTAAATGTATTGGCTTCAGCAACATGCGAACACTGCATTTTGTTTCAACAAAGCCCTGTTTTAATTAATTTTTCCTAGTTTAAACAGATGTCTAACTAAGAACCAAGTCAGGGACAATGTGCATTGCCCAAATTGCCCATCAAGGATAATGTGGTTGCTGTTTGGTCAAGTTTAATGCCTCAGGAACATCTACACTCTTGAGCTTGGTATTGCCCACCCTCAATTCTGCACTTTGTAATTGATTACTATGACAATTGATATGACTTACATTTACTTCACAAAAAAACACTCTAAATTTCAAATGTAGTTTATTAAAATCCAGAACAACACAGCAATTAACAGTTGTAGAACAAAACAGAATCCTGTAAAATGTAGCATAAATATTAGCAGTAGTATTCAGGCCTTGATCCCTCACTTTTAAAAGTTCCTTGTGAGTCCATACTTGACCTAGAGCATAAAAGAAGTCTTTCTGATTCAGTTGTGTCTCTGCGTGTCCATAGTTCACCTCCATTGTTTATGGATCGTGGCCTGAGTGACAAAGTTTCAAACTTGACATAAGTTTCTTTTAAAAGGTCTTCTGCATTAGGAGACTTGGGTTTACGTTGTAGTTTCATAACTTTGTAAAGCAAAAAGAAGATGATGGGCAGGACAATGGCACAAGCTATACTGCTGCCCACTATTAGGATGGTCATCTGGAAACTGCCCTCTTCTTCATTCTTAAGCAAGGAGTCTGTAGAAAACACAATGCATTGGTCTTTCTTTGGCGGAGCTGCTTTTGGGCATACACAGGCCATGTATTTTGTTCCAGGCTGTAAACCATCAATTGTTACTTTATTTTTACTAGGGTCTGTACTCAGTCTCAGCATTTGTTCTTCACCATATTTTGAATATAGCACAGTCAAGCTTGAGCTGTTGGTGGTGTTGAGTGTTTTCCATGTTAATGTTACCCTATCCTCTGTCTCACTGGTGACCTTCAGATTACGAACAACAGTGTTTGCTTCTGCGCCATCTGAAATGTTTTTAAGTACTTCTCCTTCCTTGTTGGTAGAATTTGCAACCTGAGACTTTTTATTTGCAGCTTGGCTTTGCACTTTGGTTTTCTGTGGTTTCCTTTCTGGAACTCTTACTGTAGTTGATGTAACTGTAGTTGGTACCATGGTGGGTTCCACTGTTGTGTCTATTAATGTGGATGTTAATGTCTCTGGAGACCAGATTGTGCTTATTTTAACTGTTTCTTCCTTTTCCTCTGCTTTTTTTATATTATTTACCTGGTCTGCTTCTGGCCTCCTTCCAAAACGTTGCGGTGTTAATGTTGTAGTGACAACGCCAACTACTATGACAGTTATTGATGCTTCAGATATGCCTGCCAAATTTTTAGCCTTGCATCGATATTCTCCTGCATCTTTATATGAAATACCATTCATGCTTAGGATTGACCATCTCACTCCATCTGTGGGGGACTCCTGGATAACTGTAAAATGAAGAAAACAAGCTAAGTCACATTCAGATGCAAATGTTCTTATAATTTATTACCCCAGTGACAGGACTCCTATAATCTTGAATGATAATAGTCCACATCCATCAGTTTGACACTGGTGAAATATAGTACATGTACCCATCTAATGCACTGTATAATGGCAATTGCAGGTTAGTTCAGGCAACCACATAGATTTGGTTATGCCTCAAGAATCCCTGAACTCATAAAGCTCATAATGCAAATTTTAGTTAGAAATTGGTGTGTTGCACCAGTCTTTTCTGAGGCCTGTTAAAAAGTTGAAAATTGATTTGTGTGCATGGTTTAGTGGCACAAAGGGCACTCTAGGGAATATTTTAATCAGTTTATTTTGAGTCATTTGAGTTCTAGCATGTGATGTATAGGCATTCTTAGGAAATCTTCTGGTGGTAACAAAACTTTGGAGTTAAAGAAGGTGTACCACCACAACTGGAGTGATGGATGCACTAAACTATGCTGCACTGAACCATGACCTCTACTGAAAATCACTAACCATGCCCTGGAGACCTTCCAATATAACTGTTATAGATGTAACTTCCTCATCTTCTGCACACTGATGCACTGGTGCCATTTTGGAAGGTTTGGTGCTATGTGCCAGAGTGCACTGTTCACAGAGTACTCAACTACTTGGCCATAATAATCTATGCATTCTGCCATTATATGTTTGTCACAGGTTTATAAGAAAACTCTTGTGATCTTCACATTTCATTATTATGCTTGTCTTTCTTTATCTATGGATAGATTCTGTGGTTAACCTGCCTTGTCAGATGACCTCCCCAGCTGATCTTTCTCCAGGAACATTTCCCTGGATTCTGAGGTAATACCTTGACTATTTATTGTCTTTACTGAACCTAACAGCAACCTTGGAATCTCTAAACATCCTGTGATGACTTCTGAAAGCTGTCTTGCACTTTACCAGTCAGAGGTTCTTCTTATTTTGTACTTTTCTTTCTTTTTATTGTCACAAGCCTCTGTCTTGGCAAGTACTGTATATGAAGTATATTGCTAAAAGACTCTGCCACCAAATTTCAGGTAAAAGCACAGAAAAACCAAGTGATTTACATGCTTCCTTGTAGTGGTTTTAAAATTCGTAAGGGCTCATGCACATGGCTGATTAATGCCATACACTGTCAAGATCAGCATATTTTTGTGATGGGTACAGCCATGTGCTTCCATTCAACTGTGGACAGAAAGCGTGTACAACTCAATGACAGCTTGACATCCTCCACAGCTCTTCAAATGTAATTGAACATGGAGAAATCTGTGGTTAGGAATGGCCTCAAACTGTCAAGGGGCACATACTTCTTTTGAAATGTAATTTTGCTACTTTTTATTTAGAACCATTTATGACTGCCCTCAGGGCCAGTGCTAGACTATTTTGTGCCCTAGGCTAGACCAGCTAGACCCCCCCCCCCCCCCCAATAAATTAAATAAAT